TGTTCTACTAGTAACTCTTAGGGAAGACAGAAATACTGGAGTATATTTGCTGATGCAATGAGAGAAGCTRTATTTTGGGTGGGCCTTTTTCCTCATCACGTCAGTGCAGTGGATGATTTCAGATGTGTACGTGCTGAGCTGCAAGACACTGAAGCTTCCTAAATCTATTACTTTCCAAATTCATTACTCCATAGYGCAAGGACAAGAAGCCAGTTAWGTATGTTTRTAAGTAATAATTCAAAGCTGATTAAAAAAAAACTTAATGCAGCATGTAATCACTGTGAACTAAAGTGAATAAAAAGTTATTATTATTACTGTTGAAGATACTTTGGCAGTGGCTTTGATGAAGTCTGAAACGATTAAACCAGGAAATGTGCAAAACAGAACAGAATCTCTGCCTTGAGGAAAATGTTATGTTCTGATTGGACAACAATTCTGATCAGAAATATTGCTTCAACCTTTTTTTTCCCTTGTGAAAAACAATTCTGAGTATTCAGTGTAAATTATAATTTTATACCTAAGATCTCCAAAGCAGAAAGGTGCCCAAACTACCCTTTGGTATGCAGAAGCTCTCGTGTAGCTTCATCATTTCATCAGCCACTTTGTGATATGCTTTAGTGGACATGGTGGTATTCATTTGAAGCTTGGACTTGATGGACTTGGAGGTTTTTTCCAGCCTCAATGATTCTGTGATTCTCCTGATTCTACAAAATRTCACAGTGCATAATCAAATTACTTTCTCAACATCTGTTGGATTCCTCCATTACAACAAATAAAGAACAGGAGGAAAGCTCACAGGTAAYCAATCAGAGAGGGGAAGATGCAGGCAATGTGTCTGGCATTCATGTATTGCTGCAAGGAATGGCTCAGACAGTGGAAGCGTGGGGGTAGAATGGAGGATTGTGGTGAGTCTGTGGATGTGGGCTGCTGGATGACTCTGTGCTACCCACCTGTGTTGTTGGGCTGGGGATGAACAAAGCCAGGCTGGAGAAGTTTGGCTCTTGGCTCTATAGTATTTAGGGCTGGTATGAGGGATGGGAAGGAGACACCTGACATGTTGTGTGAACTCAGCCCAGTTCAGCTGGGTTTCCCCTCGTGACTTACAGCATTCAGTGTAGGAACCRCTACAGTACGGCTCTTTTTCACCGCTACATCACTCAAAATCAGGCAAAGCAGCTGGCTCAGGCTCTGTTTRTAGGGTGCCTGGGATCACACCCCACCTCTGCAACTGGCCTGCTGGGCCACTGTTAGCATCCTGCCTGTGCATGTGACATTTGGTAAAATTAACATCATGGCATGTCCCTTGGGAGGTACATGMTGACATCCTCATAAAGAAAGCTATTTTGGTATTATGAATAATRAATTGACTTGAAATAAAATGTTTTGAAGAGGCAAAGGTCTTCTCATGGATCAAACTAAATATTAATTGAAGAGTACAGAAGAGACGTGCTTTATTGCATGGAATCTCTCATTCCAGGCTGCCTCTGGGAAGGATGCAGACTCAAAAATATTTCTAGGTCAGTTTATTCTTGCCAGTAATGATACCCACACAGAAGTCCGTGCCCAAGGCTTGAGAATGAATGGAGATGCCTRTATAACACGTTGCTTTATGATATTATTAATTATTGAGGAAAAACATCTATGTAGCCTGTCTTTAGATGACAGAGAGCCCAAATTGTGTTTGCACATTTAATGTGCAGGACATTTGGGCAAATGTGATCTACTGGTCAGAGCTGCAGRAAGCAGTGCTGGCTCCACAGTGCCAGATGCAGCAGCTCAGGTTTTTAGCATGGACCTGCAAAGAGGGGACCTATGTATCCTTACAGAGGAAAGCAGGGATGAACCTGCAGAAAAACTGATTGCCATAKAAAGGGTATAGAGAAAAAAGGACTGGAATATATATCTAGAGTGGAACATATATGTATATATATATATATCACAGTGGAAGCAGGAGGACCAGGCAGCTGTCTCAGTCTTTAGGAATACCTTGAGCAGGGGAAGCTGGAGCCACGTTTTACTTTTACTTGCCATCAGTACTGTGCCTAAGGGCTGCAGCACCACCCTGGCTGATTTCCCTCATATCAGCAGCTGCAATATCATAACGTAGTCCTTGTGGCTCACTGAGCTCTCAGCCCCAGCCCAGGGATGCTGTAGATYAAGCTCCTCTTCCACGTTTCCCTGACCTGGCTGCTGACAGTGATGAGATGGTTTCTCTCTGCACATTTGCACCTGCTGAGCAGCCATTTAAAGAACTATTGCACAAACTCTGCAGTGCCATTTCAGCACATAAATGTCCACTTACCCTGCATCTGTTAGCGCAACATCCTGCTCCACCTGCTCCCAGCATCATGAATGCCGGCAAAATAACCTGCAAGAAAAGCACAGGCTGAACTGGTGTGCAGCACTTCTGCTGGGGTGCTTTTKATATTCTAGGAGCTTGAGCATCATGTTCCTCAAAAGCAAGTCACCTTCTGACTCTTGTCTGGGAGTTATGCCTGCTTGGATATTGGTGCTGCTGAAGTTTCTCAGAAATGAGTGTGAGATTACAGCAAGAGCTGTCTGGCAAGGTGCTGGCACATTAATTCTGACTGCTTTTTAAATTCTATACTGCTTTTTAAAGCAGGATATTGTTGGGGTTTTTTTGAGGAAAAAATGTGTCAGTTTTGAGMAAATTGAATTTCTGCCCAGAAAAGATGCATAGCTGGACTGACAATTACGTCAGTTTAAACCTCCTGAGCATTCTGCTCTGGATTATAATTGGGAAATCAGCCTCGAGTTTCCTGAAACGGATCTAACTTTGGTTTGGGGTTTTTTTTTGTGTGAAACTTCTGGAAAACTTATAAGTCGGACTTCACTCGATAGGCTATTCCTAGTTATCATCAGCTTTCTCCATGATGATTATCAGGTGGAGTCAGACCAATACAATGCAGTCAGTAACCATCTATGACTTAGGATATAATGCTATCTTGCAGATACTCTGCAGTTAGGAAAAGTTGCCTCTGGTAGCCAGAGGKTGATAAAGCTTTTGTGGGTCTGACTATGCAGCCAGCGCACTCCCACTGCCTTGTCTCTGTACACGAAGGCTGGTTAAAGCATCTCAAAGAGCAGCACGAGTAAAGGAGTATTTGAGAAAGGAAATGGTTACCATAAAGTTAATGAAAGAAAGAGAATCCAAATCAATCAATCAATCAATCAATCAATCAATCAATCAATCAATCAAACAAACATAAAAGGTAAAAACTGTAAAAATGGCCCAAATAGATGCTGGCAAGATTTTTTCTCATGTAGGCAGAATGTCCATGATGAAGTGAAGCCCAGGGAATTTATGTGTGTAGTGTATCTCTGTTAGGCAGTGTAGGACACTTGCTTAGATTTGCAGGCTTCTAAATATTTTTCAAAGTATTTATTCTCCATTGCCTTTTATGTGCACCCCAGAGGCAACCTACAGYACCTACAGTGGTGGCTGGACTACATCTGGAAGTCTGCAGAAGTAGAAGCTTGAGGTTAAAAAGGTGCTCCTCTTCCTGGAAAGAAGTCAGCTCTTAAATCACAAGTGGTCCCCAAGGCAGCCCCAGCCCCAGCATGCTGCTGTCTGGCACTCAGAAGAAGAATTAATACCTCTGCCCATCAAACCAACATTCCCTTTCCTCCAGGGCTGTCATTTTTCTTTTGAGGTTTCCCATCTAAGCTGCAAACATTTTTGTGTCATCTATTAGCCTGGCTCAGGATGAAGGGTTTGCTTGGCAGCTTTCTTTTTGTTCCTGATTATAAACAGCTGCCTGCTGACATGGGAATGAGAATTGGYTGGATTTGGCTGTTGTCAGTAAAACGAGAGCTGCATGTGAGCCATGGTTCAGCCAGGTATTTCCTTATGTTGCACACAACCTTCTATGAGGAAGGACATTACTGTTACTGTGATACATAGAGCCAGTTTTTCTCTCTTTACATCCTAAATATTTAAAATAAGGAAATTGAGAGGTTTTCATGTCATCTGATTTCCATTAGAGATTCAGCGGAGGAGGAGGAAAGGGTGGAGCTGGCTACTCAGCCAAAGGGCATGCTGATGATCTAGGTACTAGTCCACAATGAAGTTCCCAGGTAGAGGGAGGTTTACCAACTCACAGAATTAAGCCAGGCTTTCCAAAGCTTCCCCCACAGTCTTGGCTCTGGAGGCTAAGTCCTGRTTCTGGGCAGATTCTCCAAGATCAGGCAGCCTGTTGGCATAACTTTCCTGAGTTTCCTTTGGGAGGAAGCCGGGGCATGGGGAAAGGTATTGCATCTTCAACTTTCCTCACTGTGGAGTCAGGATACRGACCAGACTCTGGTCATGGGACATCCTGGCCCTTGTTTAACTCCTCAGGACAACCAGAAGCCAATCTTCATTTTCCCATGCTTCCAGCACCTGGAAGATGGAGCTGAYGATAATGCTTGCTTTCCCCTTACCTGTGGGCATTTCTCATGCTGTTTTCTGGAAAACATGTACACTCAAGAGCATTGTTTGTGGATCAATAATTACTCCTAATGCCATGTTTTGAAGGTCAATGCAAATTTTCCCTCTCCTCTGAYTAGCTGTTCCCATTTTTGATGTATGTGGTGCTGGCCACAGGCAAGTCTGTGTGGAAGCCTTAAAAGAAGGCGTGTTTTCAATGAGCCGGTGACGCTCTCATGTCTAACATCTTCCTTTCCTTTCATGGAAAGCCAATGACTCCTGGGCTTGCAGTGATACCAATTTTCCACAAGGTCTCTCATGTAGTTCCGCTTCTTCCTTCCACAAACTCATGCTTGTGTTCAAGCTAGTATGAGTAATAGGCCCGAGTGGGAACTGCAAGAAGAAGCAGACAGGCTGCTGGTGGAGAACAGTTAATTGAATGATCTTACACCGTGTTTGGGCTTTGGGAAATGCAAGTCTGAACCCCATTCACTGCAGGCTTTCCATAGACTTAAGGGGCAGCTCATCATAGCCTGACTGTGAATGAGATTTGGTTTTTCCTAAGTTAATTATTCTTAAATATTCTATTTTTTTTTGCCAGCTCTGTGCCTGTTTGGCATCTTCCAGGCTTCATAGAAGCCAGTACTGGTCATACGCACGTTACTTGCTCAGCTTTTTAACTGCAAATGGGTCGATAATTGGAAAAGCACAAAGGAAGCAGGCTTTCTGATGAACTGGAAAGATAAGTATTCCCCAACATGTTCTTTTCTAGCCATGGATATTCACATAAAGGTGATCTTTCTTGAGGCCTGGAATGGAGTACTAGTTATAGAAAAGCACATTCAAACCAGATCAAACCCAAAAGGAGGTGGGTTGGGAGTGTGGGAACATGAGGCATTCGCGGTTTAAGCCATTTGCAGCCCCAAATTTGTATTAGCTGGGTTTTGAACTAACACCTACTGAAACATGTTTCAGTTTTTCCCTTAATATTTTTGTGAATTGTGTAGTTTTGTGAATTATGTGTATATGAAATCAGTTGCAGGTATAATGACTAGATACAGACAATGGTGAAAATTCACCACTTCCAGCCTAGCTTAGGACCTCAGCTCTGCTTTGACTCTTGGAAGATGAACACTCGTGTAACTTTTCTCCACAGTGAGCAGTCAGTCCTAGTGTTTCCTCCTGACCTGGAGTACTGATATTTATTTCAGGAATACTTTGTATTTCTTTGATTAGCACTTTTATGTCTTAAATGCATTTTCTCAGTCACATACCCAACTTCTCATTTAAGCTGTTTGCATGTTTATGCAAAACACATTTTTATGATTTTTTTTTTTAATGGAAGTTTCCTTGGCCCCAAATTTAAAACAAAACAGAACAAAATSCATAAGAAACACTCATCTCTTACCAGTATCCCAGCTCCCAGAATGCCATGGARAAACCAGACGAAATCGGTTATCTCGCTGAGCTGCAGTACTTGTCCATTGGGGAAGTACAGGAGGATATTGGAGACGATGGCACATACTGCCAGTGGGAAGAGRGTGATCCCAATGCACTTTGAACACTTCCCCGTGCACATGGCAACTCTCTGCTCGGGAAAGACACAGGGAGGTTTGGGTTACTGAAGTGCAGGGAGCATGGCATTTCAGCAGCTGTATTCTTCAAGGAAAGGAGAATCAGATTTGACAAAAAACATGTTCCAGGTAAGACTTACYCAGATAATCCTGATCTATGGACTCTGCTCCCTTCAGAGAATTTATTTAAAATTGAATTATTCAAAACTGGGATGTTTAATTAAATTTATTTTAAATTGTAGGACTAAACCTGTGTTGGTATGAAATTAACAGAGAGTTTCATTTTAGTTGTTAATCATCAATTATCTGTCCATTGGGAATACGAGTAACAAAACCATAACCCCACAGATACCTTGGCTGGCAGTTTTCATGGTGGGGCTAAACCTTGAGTGAAGGGGAAGGGGATGCCCAGGTTATTTGGGACCAACTGTCTTGGGAAGCTGATTGGAAATCTCTTGCACTGAAGGTCTAGAAGAGCAAGAAATKACTACCAAGAATGCCATATGACTGTTCAACCCTGCCTTGGTGCTGAGGCAAATGGGGAAGCTTCTCCAGGGTGCCTGGCAGCTGCATTTCCTCTATTTCAGTCCAAAATACACTCTCAGCAAGAACTGGAGAGACATCCATTACTGTTTTCTGTGCCATGATTATTCTACAAATAAGGGTAGATAAGACTGTGAGTTAAGTGCCTGTTTGGAACCCACCCTAAAATGTCTGAAAAACTGCAAGCTTGTCTAATTTTGTGTCTGTTTGCTAAGGGCAAATCAAAAAGCCAWCCCATCTCATTTTCAGAGAGTTCATAACATACAGTAGCTTAGTAGTTCATAGCATTTAGGTTCTTTTTTTAAAATCAAATAATCAAATGAAGGAAGCACTGGTTGMGAGAGACCTCTGCAGGTCTCCATCCCAACCTCCTGCTGAAGACAGGATTCCAGCAGCACTAGGTCACTGTGTCAGCCATGGCTTTGTGTAGCTGAGCTGTGAAAACCTCCAAGGATGGAGCAACCACCACCTCTCTGGGTGACCTATTGCAGGGATGACCCAGCCTCTTGATGAAAATGTCTTTTCTCATGTCCTGAATTTCCCAAGCTGTAAACAGGGCTGTTGTTCCTCACTATATCCTCTCACACCACTCTATCACCTCTGCCACTCCCCAGTTTGTTTCGGCTGCTATTAGACCCCTCTTCACCAAAGTGTACAGTTCAGTTCACACTGCACCCACACTGTGATCTTTAGCCAAAGAGAAAAGGATGATCAGTACAGAAGTGCATCCACAGACATTTCTCCATGTCAGTTTGGAAATCCCTTCAGGGTCAGGGATTATTGAACTTGTTTACTACCTTCAACTTTATGGCACAAACTGATCACAGATTCGTCATGATGTTTTATGACAGCATCATTCCAGCTCAAAACTTTCAAATGCATAAAAATATAAAACATGAATGAAAACACAAAGTATCAATCTTTTGATTTCTCTCCTCAGGGAGAACTGACAGTGTGTGACAAAAAGACTCCCCTATGAACAAGTTGCCAAATGCAAGAGAAGGAAAAGGATGTGGACACACACCATTTCAGGACGCACACCCGGAGCCATGCACACACAGATGCCTTTGCTTGTTACATGCATGTGGTTTTTGTAATAACCGAGGCAGTAAGCAGTGAAATGTCCCTCCATTTATTTGTGCATTGGCTAATCCTGAAAGTTTTATGACAAAGGTTGATGTGGAGAAGTTATTAAGCAGGGCAGGAACATGGAAAACAATCAAGGCTGGGTTCCCAAGCAAGAAATTTGAGAAAGCCAGAGATGGGCTAAAATAGACTTTGGTGACAGAATGAAGACAGTGAAGAGATAAGATAAGATATCAGATGAGATATCCTCAGAMCTCTGTAACTCAGAGGGAAAACAGAAAATCTGTATGGGGTGCCATATATTGCTRTGAAGCAGCTGTGACTGCCAGAGACTTCATCAGAGTTTGCATTTCTATAGCTAAAAAATTTCATCATTGTCTGCTGCTTTGAGTTCAATAAGACCACTGTGTTTATATGCCTTTTCTTCTGTGCACTTTGCAGTCATGTTGTGCTTTTCAATCCGTCTTTAAAATAAATTAACTGGCATGAAACTATTCCAGATGGAATCGTTTTTAACAGAGATACTTCTGTTCTGTACTTATAGTCATTACCCATTGTTCATACAGTGCTCAAAATTGGGCACAGCATTTTGCAAGCCCCTGAAAAAAGCCCTAGCTCAAAGAGATAAAAATCTAAACCGACCAACAATGTGCAACTGAAAGATGAAGTGGGAAGTGGAATGGAGGAAAATGGAAASAATATTGGATATTTCACTGTTTTTCAAATAATCAGTGTATAGCTTATTTTTTTACAATGGCTCTTGCCTGTCTGTTTTCGCATCTCATTCCAGCTTTAGCTTTCCCATTTGTTTGCCCAACCTCACCTCCCTCCCCAGAGAGAAGTAAACAAGCACAGGCACAGCCTGGCCTCCTTCTACAAAAGCTAAGCCTTGTAGYTGAGTTATAAATTCTCTTCTGCAGCTTTCAAACACGGCCAGAGGGCCCAGTTCTTGTATGGCACAAAGCGACACGATGCTGCTTCGGCTGGAAGAACTGGGGGTTCCAGCCCATTCTCTCTGAACTGTCTTCAAACTGCAGGGAGAGTTTACCTAAACAACAATCCCCAGACCCAGCGAGAGCCTCCACCACCAAAATCAGTGCCGYTTTGCCACCTGTGCACATCAGAGGATCTGCATGTGTTATTACAGCTTAGGAAAACACTCGGGTTTGCCAGAAGCACTTAAAACACTTTATTAATTCACCAAACAAAAGCACATTCTACAGCTTTGTTAAGCAAGGTGGCTAGAGCAAGCTTCTAATTTTTGGCGAGGTTTTTAGAAAGTTTTGCTTTTTAATGCTATGGAAAGYGTGTAAATACTTTTGCTTACCTTCTAAACAGGGCTAAGATGGCTTCCAGGCTCCAGAGTTCCTCACAGCCAGCTTCAGGCTTCCCAGCTCCTTTCTCCTGGAGCGTGGCTSTCTGAGGGAGGCACAGCGATGTTTTTGGATGACGGCCTCTGTTAAACAAACAGCTGTTTCTCTCTGGAGAATGAGGAAATACCCCAAGTTATCCCTGGTTGGCCAGTGCGAGGTTGGCGTGTCACCCACGGTTATTGATTATTTTAAGGCAGTGTTCCAATGGTCAATGCCACAGCCCCCGGGACACGCGGATCGGAGCAGTGGAGACCTTTTTACAGCTGCAACCATTCCAACCRCGCGGAATGGTTTGGCAGAAGAGGAAAGGCAGGAGATGGCAGAGGAACAATGAGTACCTGGCAGGAAAYGTGGCTGGAGCATGAGGTGGTGGCACAGCAAAGTCTGGCCATTGGTGTGGCATCATCTTCTGCACAACAGGCTGTGGCTGTTGAAATTCACCACTGGCTGTGCTCAAAGCATGCTCCTGCGAGAGCTAGGTGAGGAGAATGGGGATGGGAAGGGAAGAAAACTCATAGCAAGACAAGAGAAAAAGGAGAAAGGAGGACAGACAGACTGGAGAGAGGGGAGAGATGTGACAAAGGGAGGGAGCAAGGAAATAAAAAACCCACACTATTCCAAGGATGACAGACTGGGAATATGGAAGAGAAATTGAAAATTTGCTTTGGCAGTGGAGAAAATAAAGGTAGAAGAGACACTAGGGACAGGCCAAGAAATGTATAACACAGTGAAGAGTATTAAGACAAAAATTAAGCTGGGGGAAGACTCATACTGAAAGAAAGGGAGTTTCTTTTGTAGAAAAGGTGATGATGATAGYAACTGTTAAAATATGTCCAACTTTWAAATATATAAACACATMTATTACTTGGTAGGTCAGATTTGGCCCCAGTTGTGCAGGGAATCTGTTCAGATCCCTCTCTTCAATGGAAAACATCCCCTCTCTGACAGATACCTGCATCCACACCTCTCACCTTCATMCTCTAAACTCAGTATGAAAGATTGGTTGTGGAGGGTGGAATTAATCTCCTTTGACTTTGGGTGCAGATGTCAACCTACGCTGTATTTATTTCTAGTGAGAGAAACAGACACTTCCAAGGAAGTGAATCACAAGACCTATTTTAGAGTTACCGCAGGGCTACAGTTAATCATTAATGGTGAAAGAATCTCACCACTTTCAGATCTCGATGTCAGACTCTGTGGTCAGAGGAATCGCATCCATGAGGACACCAGCATGGCAGAGTGACTGCAAAAGCACTAAGAATTCAGTCCCTGGGTTGAATATTTAACATAAATAATAATATAAAATAAATGCTGACTGACAGCCAGTGAAAATCTTTAGTGATCTCAGAATGATCTCAGGCAAAGAGTCTTCATTAAAACACAGATGGCAACAAGGAGGAAAACGGAATAATTCCCTGAATCCAATGCCCCCAAGTTCTGCTGCCATCAGCAGCAACAGCCTTTCACCATGACTTTTGTGGTGGTGGTGCTTCAACCCCAAGGGAAAAGAACAAAGTAAGTGTCATAAAATCTTCAGACAGCASAAAGTCACCAGGCTTACTGACATATAAAGCAGTTAAAGAATTAACTTTAGAACAACTTAAAGACATCAGCAATTTGCTCTGAGAGCTGGAACAACTGACACACCTGCCAGCTTATGTAGAGAGTTAAGGAGCAAATAAGGGAATTTCTTATTTATACTTCAGATGAACCCTGCCCTTATAGCATAACCTGATTGCTTGGGGTTTTCATAAACTGTAACTCCATAATATCTCTAAGGTATCAGCTTTCCCATCTTCACATGCATAACACCCTTAGCTGGGCTCAGCATCCTTCATTTTGATCTGTTTTTCTCTGGTTGTGCCTAGCTTATACCCCTCCAGGGTGATGTGCAAACCTTATCTCCATAGTTTCTCCATAGTTTCACCAAATGGTGTCCCCAGTGTGACATTCTTTTACTGACCTTTTAAATTTTCCTCTCTGCACTTTCTAAAGTCTGTCTA